CCCCAAAACCCCAAAACCCCAAAACCCCAAAACCCCGTAGTCAGGTAATAGAAAGATTCAGGGAATATTATAAAATAAATAAATAATTGCTTGGATTAAATGGACCCTTCCAGAGTTAACTTAAGGTAGAAACATCATACTAAGTTCACCTCAGAGAGATGCGGAGACACTCAAGATGCTATGAAGGTATTTTCTAAGATATATAATTTGCTTAGTATTTTGGTAACTACTCATCTGAGGGACACACTATTCTAGTCGTAATGCCCACCAGAGGCAGCTGCAAACCCTGGATTACCATGTAATCTTACTTCTATTTTTAACAGCAATAGCCCTGAAGGAGTCATTGCAGTTGTCACCAAAAATGGAGAGTTCCTAGGATATTGGGAGTCTGGCATGCATTGGTGCTTGCCTTGGACTGAGGCTCAGTATTTAGTAACAAGATAAAATATAGTGTTTGACATGCCAGTCACATTATGCCCCACATCTGATAACATATTTATCGAGGTACTTTTATATTTCACTCCTAATCTGTTTCATTTTACAGATCCATGTTTCAGTCGTATTCGACATCCAACCAGAGCACGAGTATGTATATCAACTTTGCATGAATGTGAATGAACTGAATTAAATGCTAGAAGCAGCAATTACTGAGAGAGTGAGATAAATGGCTAGATCGGTTTCATCTCGCCAAGTCTATTCCCTAAGAGGAGAGACCCATGCAGATCAAGTAAATACATCCCATTCAATCAACTTAATCATGATAGATGAAATCTCATTTGAAGTCAGTCATGTCAAACAAAGGAATCAATGTGAAGCACGTGATTATTACTAATGTGAGATTCCCACCAGATGTTGCTAATTCTCTATAAGAAAAAACTATTTTCTAATTCAAAAATACTCTTGAAAGAAAGAAGCAGGCCTTCGAACTTAGAACTCTAAATGATAAAGAAGAGTTAGAGCTTTTGAGACAAATGAGACTATAAGAGAGATAATATGAGATCGAAAGAGCAGAACTTGACCAAGCCACTAAGACTAAAGAGATTGAAAAGGTCAAGGCTAATAACAAGCGTCTTCAAGCAGAAATGAAGGAAAGAACATTAGCTCTATCTAATCAAATTAACGCAGAGACTGATGTAAAGTACAATGAGATCCTTGCTGAGGCTAACTTAATTGAAAACGAGATTCTTAACAATGCCAGAGCAGAAGCAGCTAAGATAAGAGCTGAAGCTGATGCCTATGAGATAAAAACAATCACTGAGTGCGAGAAAGACAATGCTGAGGTCATTTCTCAGGCTATCAACTTGGAGGGAGAGATCGAGTCAAGAATGCTTAAGGGCTCTAAAAAGAAGAGAAAGCATCAACAGATCATGGAGAGACTCAATGCCATGGATCAACTATCACAAAAGAAAAAGATGGTTATCTATGGAGAGCAGGGCAACAATCTTCTAGCCAATCTAGAAGCTTTCAAAATGGTACTAAATTAGCAAAAAAAATGAAAATGAAATTACCTCTGGGTTTTACAATTATTTTCAACTTAATAAGTACACATCCTTTGATATTAAGAGATTATTAACATTTATTAATGACAATTTAATTTATATTTGATATTTTTTTTAAATGGATTCTCATAAGAAGAGTTTTACAAACTTTGAAAAAAGTTAATCAATCTTAAGTAACAGCAGCTTCAAAAATGATCAAAGCATCTTTCAACTTCAAATACAAACTCCTTCTAATGAAGTAATTGCTTAAGTTTCAAAATAAGAACAGCAAATACTGAAGAGAGCACATGAGTCATAATACAAAGAGAGTATATTATATCAGAAAATTAACAGAGGAGTGTAACCTTCACCATTAGTAAATGATTCTTTATCCAAAATAAGAGGTATCTAGTTCAATCACTAGAATACTACTCCAACTAAGAACACAAAGAATCTTTTGAAATAAGCAGCTAAAGCGGCTACTCTTCAAGATATAATGAAAGCCAAGAAATTCTACAGAGACGACTCATCACTTGTCGTTGATATTCAAAATGAGACTACTTTTGCAGGAAGTTAAATGGAACAGTCAATTTCAGCCAATAATTTAATCACGAGAGATCCTAAGAAACTTGAAAAGACGCTAAATTAGCTGAGACTTAAAAACCTTAGAAATAATATACCATCGTCATAAACTATAGATACTAATGAGATCATGATGGCAAGAAAGCATTTGAAAAGTTAGGGTAAGTTGGGTGCAACTACTATGAATTTAGGTACAGCTTTAGGCTTTTCTAGAGATATATCCTATTTACATGAAAAATCTAGGCTTATTAATTAATCAGAACATGAAAGATCTATTGAGAAGACATAATAAAGCGTGTCTACTCAATTGCCAAATATCATCGAGATTATAAAGAAAGAAAAGCACGAAAAAGAGGTAGAGAATCAATAGAATTAAAACAACAATAATAATTAAAGCACAATTATTACGATACTCAGGTAGGAGATGGATGATCTTGATAAGGAATTATATTAAGTTATAAATGAAAGGTAAGGGCTAAAGTGGAAGCCGCCTCAAATCTCGCAGTAGATTGAATTCGATGAAGCATTCAGCTTCAATAAATTTCTTGAGTAAAAGACACCTATGGCAGGATAGAATCCATCAAGCAGGAGACAGGCATAAATATTGTAAGCGTGGTTTGATATGATGATAGATAAATACTATGTCTAAACACAGGAATGGCAAGACCTCAAGCATAAGGATAAAAAACTCAATCTAATCAGAATATAAAAGATAATTGATACTTGCCTGAAAGAAATTGTGAAGTAGACTATGGCTCATTGTTAAGAAAGAGGAAAACTTTTGGAGTAGTTGATTTTAATCAATGAGTATTTTATGGACAGAAGAATTCAATAGGTGAAAGACGAGAAAGTTCAGATTATTAAGAACAATTCCATTGATAGGGAAAAAGTAGAAAAGAGTCACGATGATAGAATCAATAGCTTAAATCACCAAATTTTCAATCTTTAGAGATAGATTAAAGATTCTTAACTTCAAAAGGAGAATGATGTAGAACTAGTAGGGATACTAAGGCTAAGGATTGACACAATAAATGGAAAGCTCTCAGATATGATGCGAGACATCAAGGAAAAAGAAAAAGTCATTGAGGATTTTGAAAGAACAGTTCACATTTTGCAAATCAAAAATTAGAAATACAAAGAGAAAAAGAGGATTTTAAACAGGAAGATCCAAGATCAAATAAGATTTGAACAAGTAGTTGCTCCTAGATACTAGCATTAATTCAATTATCAGTTCAACTAACTTGGCAGACAGACCTAGGATACGCCTGGTATGACTGGAACTCCATCTGATTATAACAGGTTATAGAATGAATTCTTTGAGCAAAAACGCAATAGAGTGATGAGTCTGGGAAGGTAAACAGATAGAATTAGTTTTGCTGGAGACCTTTAGATGCAATTGCCTATTTCCTAACTCACTAAATATGAACATGATGATTTAGAGTATTCACAATCAAATAACCAAGAGCCCTCAATTAGAAATTCTATTAAACAGATAAGAATTTTAGATTAGTCTAATTTCAGTCCTAATCAAATGGACAACATGAACCAAACTGACACATCAAAGCTTATTGATTAGTAGAGCTTGAATATTCCTTAGCAAGATACTGAGGAGATACTTTCTAATGATTAATTCCTACTTGTGGCAAAAGATGAAGAAATGCTTCAAAAATATTTTGGTATAGAAGATGAAGAGGAAGCTTACATTAAGCGGCAAGTAGAGATTCACAAGCTCTAGGATGAGATGATGAAAAGCAAAGATTTCACTTACTTTATGACTAGAGTAGATGAATTATGTACAATATACTAAAACCAATTACCTAAAGATAAGAAAAGTGATAAATAAAATGAGTACATAAAAGAGATAGTTAGATAGCTATTTAAAAATGAGATCGAAATGATAGCTAATTTCTCTAAAATTTATAACGATAAACTTAAATAGCTAATGACATTAGATAGTAAAAGTACTGAAAGAAGAGGAGTCAGGACTAATAGCATTACAAATATAATATACTAAAACAATCCAAATTTTGTAAAGAGAAAGATGGTAGTGTATACTTATGATATTGGATTGTAGACTGAGGAGAGTATGCTTGGATAAAAGCTGACTGAAGCAGAAATTGAAAACAAAGTTGCTTCTAAATTGATTTAGATGCTGATCTCGAAAGGAGTAACTAAAATTATTAAGAAGTATGGCTACTTACCAATTGATTATATTAATAAAAATACTGGAACTGGAAAGACTCCTGAAACTACTGGTGCTGAGTCTAGTAATACTAATACGAATAGTAAATCTTAGATGAGCAAGAGGAAATCACCTAACATTAAGAAAGAATCTCCTGCTATTGATAAACATTCAGTGATAAAAATATGAAATTAATATGAAATAAATGATTTAAATTTCTAAAATACCTGAATTACTCATTTAATTAGGCGCTGGGGTTTTGGGGTTTTGGGG